TGGGGAATATCTCTGCCATTTCGATTCCGATCGTCTTGGAGCATAAAACATTTTCGTTTTCTTTTGTCAAGATGACCCCGAAACAATGGTTACCTTTTCACATTTCTCCTGAACCCGTACCCCCCTCCCCCCTCCAGCTCTCGTAAGTAAACACGTAAACCGTTCGAAATATCACTTTCGTTTCTTCTCGCTGGACACTCGCGAAACTTCGCAGGCTGAGTTCCGCAACTCTAAAACTAAAAATAAAACACTCGGTTTGACAATCTGATAATTTGATCACTTGTGAGAGAGTCAGAAAGTCTTGAAGTGGCGCAGGTGCCGTTTGCGCTCTTTGCCCACTCGAGTGCAGTGCTGCCAACACACCAACAAACTACGCGCGAGTTCAAATTAAACTATTGGATATTTCAAACTAAACAAATCCTAAAAGTAAATGCATTTGAAACTGCCCCAAGAAATGTCAATGTTTGAACAAACTCGCATTTCGTCATCGGTGCAGCCGTTTCGTAGTTCATTGAGTGAGTTAGACACAGACAGACAGACTCACGACGGAGACAACGCCTGACCCCTCAGCGACTTGGACTGAGCTTCGCTCAGCGATTAGGGATCACCCGGAGCGTCCCCGCAGCCACCGTAGCCGTCGCCTGTCGCGCCGAGTCACAGTCGACAGTCACTTCACCTCTTATTTGTTTTGCGTGTTGTGACTGTCGGCGGCCTGTATTAGGTGCTCGCCGCCCCCCGACACGCCAGCCTGCGCCAGCCACGCCACTCCGGCTGACAGCTAAGGCCTAACGGTGCCGCGGGGAGCCAGTCACACATCTCGCAGGTCTTTGCCACGCGCGCCCGTCTTTGCCACACACACGAAAAAAAACAACCCTGATAGCTACAGTGCGACAGTTACACCCTTTAGAGAGAATGTTTACGACAGCTGCGAAGTATATGCTTTGCAAATGCGTGAGTAGTACCAAGTGGCTGATTCGCGCCGCGCACTTTCGTAGTTATACTGTATCGCAAGCACGGGTTCGGGCGGATTTGCCTATGCTCGCTGCCCACGGCTCCTTAAGGCCCCGTGCGAGTAGGCAACCCGCCCGCACGCGTTCATGCAGTACAGTATAACTACGAAAGTGCGCGGCGTGAATCGGCCACCTGGTATAGTAATGTTAATATGTAATGTTTTTAAAACAATATTTTTGTGTTTAATCCGCAATAACAGTTCAGAGTGATGGTTTGACGTGAAGTTTGGCGTATTCGCGAATTTGAGTAAATTTGACAGCATCTTTCATTTATTGGTTTATTGGCTTTGAAAGATCCAAGCAGTGGGCAGAAAAAAGGTGCACACAAAGCACAGCCTGGACAAGCCCAGCCAACAGTGACGTCAGAGTACCAGAGTGTGAAATGCCGTTAATTTTGACTCATTCTCTCTCTTTTTTTTGTACTTTATAAATGGAAGTAATGAACTAACCGGCACGCGACACGGCAGCGGCCGGGCGTTGAGTGGTGGCGATAAAGGGTGGGTAAGCGCACGCCGCCCCGCCTAAACGAGCCCCGAGCACCTCCAGCAGGGCTGCCAACGCTTCAACGCAGAAAGAAAAGTCTAATGCAAAAAAATAAAATAAAAAATAAAATGGCCGAGAAAAATTTGCGCGCCGCACATATGGGCTGGTGCTTTAAAGGTGACGCGCGGCCGAGAGAGTGGCGGCGCGGGCGGCCGGGTGGTCCCAAATGAAATAACGCCCCCATGCTCGGGACTAGCGCGTTAGTCATTAGCGAATTTAAGGCCGGCGAGCGAGGCTGCTAACGGGATTCGTCTCGTGCTCTGCTGCAGGGCCGTCGACGGCTACCCCGACGCGATCGACCCCCCGGAGGCCCCGCGCGCCAACACGGCCGCCTCCTACTCCAACTACTACGACTTCCTCATCAACGAGGGCTCCTACAAGTTCTGGGCCGTGTTCCAGGTAAGTGGATGCGCGGGTGGTGAGAGTAAGACGTCGACCCGACACTGGCCGCTCAGAAAATCCGGAAAATGTGAAGGCCAAGAGACTTTACAACATGTGATTTTGTCGGATTTTATTTCGTAAAAGTGGCTTTTCTGATAAAGACCATCTTCCCGCGCCAGAGAGCGGTTCAGGTATTCGAAGAACTGGTCGCGAAATAACGACAGGACTGAGCATTTGCATGGATTATGTCCGCAGAACGCGCCTCCTCCCCCGCAGGCGGCAGTGTCCGCATCCCGTAAAGCCACCCGCTCGCCGTCCTCGCCTCGCCCTGACGAGCACGGTGCGCGGCGGGCTCAGTCCGATTTGTTGTGCGTTGGTCCCTGCTCGTTAGAGCGCGGTTTGCAATCCTGGGCTTCCTAACTCCCCGGGATATGGCTCTCCCACGACAATGGCTCATCCCCCTCCTCCTCCCCCCCACCTCCTCCCCCCAACTCCTAATCAATCACAAGATGGGTAGCAGCAGCGCGAGGGGTGCGGGTAAAGGGTAGGGGGGCGTCCGCCTCGGCGTCCAGTGTCCAGTCCGCCTCCACCGGCCGGCCAATCCAATCTGCAGCGGGGCGTCTTAGGCCTACCTACACGTGGCTGCCCGGTTAATACATCTCCCCGTGATGTATCTCGGCGGGGTCAAGGTTTCCCCGCGACGCGAGCGGCGAGCGTCCGTCCGTCTTGTCCGATAGGGGGATGGAAAGCACCTCGCAGAGAGGGAGATGCGGGTGCTTCAAAAAAAAAACGTCTACGAAAATCAATGTTATATTTAAATCTCGCGGACGCGTTGGGGTGGCTAGTCATCCAGGTGTCATCAGGAGAAAAGCGCGGGTAGATGACCGACTACTAAAACGTTCCGTTTCAGATCGGCACGGCCGTCCTGCTGACGTACTCGGCCTTCGCCGCGCTGTACTACGCGCGCTACACGTACTACACCAACGTGGACTACACGGACTACGACGACTACTTCTTCAGGCGGTCGGGCAACAGCCGGTCGCAGAGGTCGGCGGAGAAGCCCTTCGCCGGCCTGTCGCCCGCCGAGTACCAGAGGGTCATGGACGCCGCCGACAAGAAGTTCGAGTCCACCGCCAAGACGTCATCATCGCCGTCGTCGTGACGGCCCCGCGGGCGTCGGCCGGCCGCGTTGCTGCTGCCAGCGCCAGGTTGCCCCGTCTCCGTCCGGAACCACCGCACCGCGCACCGCGGGCGCCGCCGCACGGAGAGGGAGGGCAACCCGACCGCACCTGCCGCAGCGCGGCCGGGCACCAGCAGGGGGGCGCCGCTGCCCGGCTGGCCCGGCACGAGGGGTGTCCACCACGTACCTGAGCTCCTCCCTCGCGGCCGACTGTGCCGAGGCAAACAACAATAAAACTCCTGGAAAATAATACTTTCTTACCTCTGACGCACCCGGCGATGGCTGTCGTCCTTTCCCAATTAACACAGCGGTGCGGCGGTATGAGGAAGTTGCCCGATTAGAGGAACAAGAAGGAGGTAGCACTGAGGAGGTGGCGTGGCGTGCGCTGTGCCTAAAAAAAGCAGGAGATGAGCGGCAGTCAAGCAGAGATTAGGATGCGTGTCGTTATATTTTAAACAGTTTAGAACGGGCCTATGCATCTAGCACCTTGGTACCACGTATATACTCAAGTTTATTACGACAGTTGACTCATTATCATTGAGTTAAAATAGTACCCATGCAATATGTCCGTACACTAACCTAAACAACGACACCGGGACGGTTTAGAAGATTGTATAAACTTACTTTTCCGAAGCCAAACTTTGCAAAAGCGCTTCAAGACTCAAGATTGTTACGCCGGTCTAGAATAGACCCAACTTTTCTTTACAAATTCTACAAAACTTGGAGTGTGTCCGAATTCTCAACCGTATCGCTACGAATCGGTCGGAATGACCATGGAATGACAAAGTGGAGGGGATGGTCAGCAGGGAGGGCAACCTGCAGCCATCCCTCGCGAAAGGACGTCGCGGTTCGCGCTCGTCCGCGACCACCCCGTACGATTGGGAATTCGCACACACTCTTGGCATCCACTTGCGACAAAACACTGAATGGTCACCGGCGTTCTGCTTCGTTTAGGGACGGCGCTACGCCACGCCACCTCCTCAGTGCTACCATATTTTTGTTCCTCTTATCGGGCAACTTCCGGCGTCTCGGTGTTGGGGGGAGACAAAACGATCGGCAGTAGGAAATTGTTCTTTTATTACATGGAGGAAACAAAATCGTCCATAGCGGGATACAACATAAAAACCTCTTAAACACGCTCCGCGATGGCAGAGATAAAAACAACAAAATTATGAAGTCAGCGCTATGCTTCAAGCTCCACGACAAGCTTTGCGGCCAGGGCAAAGGGGGTTACAAAAGCGGAGGGTAAAATATGATACTAAGATATCCCTAACGGTTATTTTCTGAAACCAGATAATCTCAATACACGTGTGCAAATAAAGCGACAAAAACACAAGACACAACATGTTATAATATAATACTGTTAAACACTGCCGCAAGTTAGGAAGTCGTGGGACATTCCTCCCAAACGACTGCATGATTGTTGAGATCAGAGTTATAGACAAATACGAGTTCGGTCTAAAATTAAAAAAACTTGCATTCATAAGCTAAAGTTTATAACGACACATTAAAATAGTTACAATACCGGCAATATTCCTGAAGTTATCTAACCGACACACTTCTTACAACGTTTTTATTTTATTTTTCCTGTGTTCTTTATACGAACAGCTGCTACAGCCCAACAAAATATCCAAGTAAAATTCATAAAGTAACAAACGACAAAAAAAATTGATCCAAATAAATAGCAACCACGCACACTTCTTAAGTACATCATATAACGAACGGATTCGACAACTAAACCCGAGGGTTCACTCGTAACGCGTGCGACTAAGGCAGTGATCGGTTTGCACGTTTTCGGCCTAACACATTTGACACAAGTCCGGTTCAGTTCACACACACACACACGCACGTTCCACCCGCTTCAAAGTCGACCGAGTTCAGCCCGCCACGACGACGTAGAAGATCCAGTAGATGGCGTTGAACAGGACGAAGGACATGGGGAACACGATGCGCGAGTACTTGTCGATAATGTTCACGTCCCGGATGCGCGGCAGGCTCTGCTTGAGGGCCGAGGCGCCCTTCTTGAGCGCGTGCAGGACGCGGGGGCGGTGCGGGTGCGACGGGCCGCCGCGGGGGCCGCGGAGCCGGAGGCCGCCGTGTCCGCCGGGGACGGCGTACGACGCGCGGGCGATCCGGAAGGACGGCGGGAAGGCGGCCGGCGACAGCGACGGGTCCGGCGACGTGACGGGCATGAGTCCGCCGGCGCCTGCGCCGCCGCCGCCCTGGTTGCGGAGGTAGGGCAGCGGCGACGGCGGGGGCTCGGCGGCCTCCAAGGAGTCCCGCGTGTTGGACGTCAACGAGAAGCAGTCCTTGCTCGACACTGCGGACAAAGCACGTTGCACGCAAGCTACGCGTCAGTGACTGTCCACGAGAAGGCATCCACATAATGAAACCGACAACGACCCACAAGCCCTGCAGGCTGCACCGAAAACGCGAAGCAAAATCCGGCTACTACATACTCAGTGCCCAGCAGCGCAACGGTACAGCCTTTGCTCGCCCGTCGGCTGCAATATCCCACCCCGGTCTCCAGTCTCATGCCAGGGCCCTCGCCGAGCTGACAAACTAATTCATGATGAGCACGTGCTGACCCAGTGCGGCGCGCGCATGTGTCTGCATTGCCAATTATTATACCCCCCCCCCCACTCCTTCCGCCTTTCCTCTGAGGGGGCGGGGTAGACGACGATGACGACGCAGCGACTGACGGGCTCGGCTCGGCTGGCCCGGGTGGGCCGGGGTAGGTTAGTCGGGATGAAAGAGGTCCCAGGCACCTCAGAATTAACATGAGAGTGGAGAGGATCCTGGATCCGCGTGACGGCGAAGGACGGGGAGGGGGGCGGGGCAACGCGGTAGAGACGAGCAGGCGGCATCAGGGCGGGGAGAGTTCCCGGGCAGGGATGCAATCAAAACCGTATAATGAGACCGTTCCAACGACTTCCGATACCCTCTCTCTTCTCTCGTCCGTTCGCCCTGTGCTCTCGCCCCCCGAGGCTCCCCGAGCGTCAGCACCCCTCCTTTCCGCCCTTTCCATTCCTTACGCCTCCCCCCCCCCCCCCCACCCCTTCAGCTGAAGCTGTCACCGGCTTCTGTTCTTAGATGTTCGAGAAAACGCCGCAGCGCCGCCAGTGCCTTACACAAGTGCTCCCCACACACGAAAAAAATCCATATCCTTGTCAGTCGACTTTTAGAGGGGCAAATGTGAGCAGCTTCGCAGACAACAAGTGCGTAATACACTTCCAAAGAGTCATCACATTCGAAGAGCGTGGCGACACTCACCAGTGGCGGCGGCGGCCTTCTCGTCCTGCTTGTCCTTGTGGCTCTTCTTCTTGGCGCGCGCGCCCCAGTAGGTGTAGTTGACGGCGGCGTACTCCAGGAGGGCGGCGAACACGAACACGAAGCACATGACGAGGTAGATGTCGATGGCCTTGACGTACGAGATGCGCGGCAGAGAGGAGCGCACGCCCGTCGAGATGGTGGTCATGGTGAGCACGGTGGTGATGCCTGGAAACAACACGCAAACACGTCTTCTAATGCCGCACCCCCAACAAATACGCGCTCCATTTTTCTTTTCTTTTTTTTCTAGAGAGACAGTTTTAGATAAGATTTCTGACGAGCGTGTGCGGCGGGGCGGTGGCGGTGGTTGGCAAATAGCCCTCGCGCCCTCCCCTCCAGGGGCCTCCAAGGCTCGCCTCCAGGCTCCAGGGGCGTGCACATTGGGGTCACGTGATAAGGGAGATTGTCAAGGGGGCGCGCGTTTAAACAGTCATCGACAAATGGAGAGTCAGCGGTGAACAGGGGGCTGGCACTTTTTGAAAAATGGAGAAAAATGCATCAGAAAAATGGCAATATAGAAAATCGCCAACCTTTAAAACATACAAAAAGAAAAGGATTTTATTTTTTGAAAGCGGAGAACTTTAAACCAAATTATTTCATTCATGAATAAAGACCGAATTAAGACAAAAGAAACGAGTATTTTGTTGTAGTGTCAATTAAATCTACCTACTACATCACATTTGCCCTACCAGCAGTACCTTCCCACGTTCCCCCTATTCCGTACTTTTCTGGTGACAGACAATCATCGTACTCACCCAGGGCGACCCGCGCCGAGGTGGCCTCGTGGTTGATCCAGAACGACACCCAGGACAGCATGACGATGAGTATGGAGGGCAGGTAGGTCTGGAAGACAAAGTAGCCGATGTTGCGCTGCAGCCTGAAGGAGAGCGACAGCCGCTGGTAGATGCCGGTGGCCAGCCGCTCCTTGCGGTCGTTGGTCTCGTAGCCGATGATGGTGAACTGCGGCAGCTCCGCCTTGTGCACGCCGCGCACCGGGCCGTCGTCCAGGTCCGGGCCGTCCTGCTGCTTGCCGTCCTTGGGGTCCTTCCAGTACATCACCACGTCCATCACGGTGTAGCCATCTGGAACAGGGAGCCCCGCCGGGAGGGGCGCGGGGCGTAAGCGAGATGGATGTGGGGGCGGGGCGGCG